GCAGGAATGAAAATTGCCTTCTCCTAGCATAGCCCAAGCCTCTGCTAGAGGTGATCAGTGGGGAAAAAAGGACAAAACAAAACTTCAGAAATGCTTTAAAAGGTTTTGGGCTGGGATGCAGCTCATTGGAAGTCATCAATAACTGACCAATGACAGACAGCTCTTTACTTTCCAGCTCAAAGAACCACTTATAGGTACTCCATAAACCCTTTATGGTTCTCAGCCTTACCAGCCATAGGGCAGAAACCAAATTTCTGGTCAGCGTCATAGTTCTCAGTGGTTCCACACCACTTCATGTTGTCTCTCCGTCCCTCAGAAGTACAATCAGTGTAGTTGCGATTGTTGTACAGGAAAGGGAAGTGGCACAGAGCACCATTGGAATTGCCGCCACGTGTCTGGACCAAAACTGTACAAAAGTAAAAAGAAAACAGATGCAAATCAAGGCTGCACTCTCCCTTAGCATGCAAGGAAGAGCTTGAAAAACAAACCACTAGCACAATTTTTTCCCACATGTACCCTGTATATTATCCATGGGCCTCTTTTCTTGGCTTTAATTATTTTAAATCTGGAAACATAAGCCTTGCACAAGGTCAATTCAGTTCAAGCACTGCTTTGGAAGGAGCTGTGGAGCCAGCCATGGGAATTCCTGAGGAATAGGGAAAACCAAAGCTTACTATGTTTGGGAAGTGGCTTTGCAGACCCTTTTTGCCAAGGCCCAGGGAATCAAATAAACTCACAGTTCTCGGCATATCTGTATTATCTCACAGAGGCTATTACCCAATTGTGCCCTTTGGCTTAAAGTAAAGCCTTAGTCCTCAGGAAAGGGTTACAGTTCAGTTATGTACAACAAGACAAGTCAAAACCTCTCTGCTCAGAAGCTTCACGTTTTGCAAGCAGCAGTGGAAAAAGAGGGCTGTAATCTACCTGAACTACTCACCTCTTGAGCAACCCTGCTTTACAAATAATGGAGAACAAGTAGGCATTTGTTGAGGTTTTTCTACATTAAGATTTCTTATTCCCCACAGTATATCACAAGAAGCCTCACTAAAACAAGAATGTGTGTGTGGACAGGGATGGCGGGGTTTTTTTTGTTTGTGTTGTTTTTTTTTTTAAAAAAAAGAAAGACTATTGTATGCACTACAGGGAAAGGCTTGACTTTTATCAGAAAAAGCAACTGAAGTAGAACAGAGTAAAAAAAAAAAGTCTATGCAGTGTAAGAAGCAGAATTTTCATGTGGGAATGTGAAAAATTCTCTCCAAGGTCAGATCCCAGAGAAGCTGACTGGACACTGTTCCATGGATGTCTGATGGGCTTTCCAGGAAGTGCAACCACACAGGTAGATCTGTGCTGTAAAGGGAACACTGACCACAGACAAGAGGGAATGCTGCTGCATTAGTCATACACCAGCTCTTGATCAGTGATCACAAATCACATTAAGATTACTGCTATATATGGCAACCTGGCTAGATAGTCAGGATGGAGGGAGTGACAGAAGGCTGCACAAACTGTACTCCATGGATATTCTCCTCTTCGTAGCCTAATATGGGCATTGCTCTAGCAATTCAGCCAAGCAAAGGCAAAGTCTAAGTATCCTTTGGGCCAAAGCTCTATCTTGATGAGGTACTCCTCTTCTAAGGTCAACTTGGAGGAGAAAGAACAGTACTCAAAGGGTACAGCTGTATCACCCTGAGCACCCTCCAAGGATGCCAAGATCGCAAAAGTGCCCTGACTCCAGGCAGCCCTTCATTCACAGGACTGCCTTGCTGTTGAGGAATGCCTAGAGTCCCTCCAGACTGCCAGAATTGTTCAGGTAGCCTGTCCCTATGTTCTCTGCTCCTTCCTCCATCTGTGCACAAGTGTCACATTCATGTGAAGATCCTCTGAGAAGAACTTACCATTCTGCTCAGTACAGAAGGAGTATCTCCTGTCCTGCTCAAAGTTGGAAGTGGTGCTGCACCAGAGGTGCCCATCTGTGCGGCCTTCGGTGGTGCAGGAATAGAAAGTCCTTCCATCATAGGTGAAAGGCAGAACACAGGCTTCTCCATCAGAATTGCCACCATACGTTTGGGTCACAGCTTTAAAGCAAGCAAATCACAGCATTAGACTCTGGCTTAAAGCATTCCCCAAATCTTAGGACTCTAAAACAGCAATAGCCCCTCTGAGCAAAGTCATGGGCTGCTGCAAACCCACACTGACTGCCATGGACTTGGGCCAATACACACCAACAGATGACTTAGCTCCGCAGCTGTGTCATTCTTTTACATTCTTTTACAAACATATACTATTGCAGCTTGATTTGAATAAAGTTATTAATGCTGCTCCCCAAGGGCTCTGTTTCCCCTCAGCAGGTTATATATAACTCACTGGGAAATGTTTCTGCCCTACACAACCAGGCTTCAAATAACTAAAACAACTGTTTCTGCACCCCTTGCACCTTTCTCCAGCATGTCTTCTTCAGAAAACATTTCTGATAGGCACACAAAGGATTCTACTTCGAAATTAAACCACAGGGCAGTCCCAAAGATCTCACTGGATTGAACAGGCACTAAACACAAACTCATACCTATTTCCTGGCAGCTGACTCCATTACCCAGGCAGGTACAAAGCATTTGCTGGCTGCCCTGAGTCTTGAGCCACTGCATACCCACAGAGTACACCACTCCGTTATCAGTTATGCACTGGCCATAGGGCTGAGGCTGCGGCTGTTGAGGCTGGGGCTGGTACAACGCAGTCTGCACATTTGTGAAGCTAGGAGAGCCAGATCCTGCAGCAGAACATGGGAGAGAAGCGAGAGAGGTTACATGCAAAGCTAAAGAACAGAATGCTTCAATTAAATGCTGAGATAATAATGCTGAGCTTCCCTCGACATATTTTAATTATTCCACTTAGCAAACTTCAAAACTAAAGAAACAACTCCCAGTTCTGCTCTGGTTTCTACCACTATTGAGTGGCTTTAGAAAGGATTAAGAGTGTCAACTGCTTTTCACAGGAATTGTTTAGAAACAATTTTTTTGGAAAAAGCATTTTTAGTTGAAGGAAATCTAGGAAAAAAAAATCAAGATCAGTAGCAAGACAATAGAAAACTACCAGTGAAGTAGGAAGATAGGACAAAAAGGATAAATTTTGAATTTTTCATTGAAAAAGAAAAATAAAACACAAATGTATTCATTTACTCTGGGATTTTTAAACTTTGAATCAAAGGGGTTTGTCCATTATCATCTGGAATAATACTGAAAGACAGAGAGGCTTGTTGTGTACATTATGGAAATTTTTGCTAATCATTCCCACAGGAATCTCCACAAATTCAGCTCTGCTGAAACAGGGGAAATATTAATGGAAACAAAATACAGGTACCCTCGAAGCTTTGTGCATTTTGAAGTTTAGAGCTTCTGAGAGTTTGAAGTTAACCTGCTGGTACTGAACAGTTAAAGGTCATTTACCAAGAAAAAATTAGTGTAGGTACTGCAGGAGAACAGAGAAGTTTTATATTGCATTCACCAAAAGGAAACCTAGGTCCTTGAAATGGCAAAAAAGAATTTAGAAGATGAAGGCTTTAACAAACCTTGGGTAAAAAATATATGCTACCTATAAACTAGGTAATATTTCATACCAAAATTACAAACTATCTAATCTACATGTATTAAGTAGCATTGTATACATTCCTTGACATTTCTGGTTTTTTAAAGCTCAACCATTAGTAGGTGTATTTATCTTGTCAAAGAAACCAGATGGTCTCAGTGGAGTTTAAATTAAGGCCATTTCGACAAAGTTACCCTAAGGCGACTACATAAAGGTCAAATAGTAACTTGAAGTGCCATGCTTCCAAGACAAAGCTAGTAGATAGTTCCTGTGGGTGCAAGGCTCTAGATGTGATTTACTGCACTGTGATCGTGCAGGCAATGACATCTGTATGTGCAAGCCTCATTTCTGCTCAGAAACAAGGTATAAATTAATCTTATCTACACATGCACAAACAAAAGGATCATCTCCTGAACTCTGATGCTCTTTGTTGACAATCTTTCCCTGACAAGACTCCTAGATGCCTACATTAGGATGGCACACTTCAGCACCAAGTCGTAGACATTCAATATGTGCCATTTCTTGTCCCTTCCCTTACCTTACATACTGTGATGCCCCACTTACCAGTGCTAGTTGTATGCAGGGATGTGTGTCTTTCGCATTTCCATTCACCTCTGCCATTACCAGTACAGATGCACTGAAGCAAATTTCCACGGTTATCCTTCTTGCTCCAGGTGTCTCCAATTCTGTAGGAAGTCTTGGTGTCATGGTCATTGCACCGATCTGTATAAGGAACATGACTGTTAGCTACTCCTGCATTGGATGGCTTCATCGTGCAATTTATAGTACTGAACTACCAACATTAGCAAACAACCTTTTGATAGTTTAAAGCCTTTCTTGAGAGCCCACCTCATTTTCCGCAGCCCACTATTACAAGTCCTGTATGCACTAAAGGCTGCATTAAACTGTAAATGTTGAGGGCATTTGAAAATCCTAATGCTTTAGTCTAAAGGAAAATTCCCATTTATTTCCAGAACTGTGATTTCACTTTGTAGCCATTGTCAAAATTAGCATCACAACATTCCCAGCATGAACGTGGTAAGCTATGATCAAAATCAATGTGAAAAAGCACATTTTGGATTGAAAGCATTCCT